TGAACATCTGAACACATGCATTACAAAACAAATTGAAAAGGTAATAAAACAACTTCCAGCCAAAAAAAAGTCCTGGACCAGATGGTTTTACAAGTTAATTTTTATCAAGCATTCAAAGAAGATCTGTCACGAATTCTACAAAAACTATTCCAGAAAATAGAAAAAGATGGAATTCTCCCAGACTCATTCTATGAAGCAAACATATCTTGATACCAAAGCAAGGTAAAGACATCACCAAAACAGAAAACTATAGGTCAAAATTTCTTATGAACCTTGATGCAAAAATCCTGAATAAAATCTTGGCCAATAGAATCCAATGATACAAAAAAAAAAAGACCAAGTGGGATTCATAACAAGTATGTAAGGATAGTGCAACATAAGAAAAACAATCATTTCAACCCAGTAAGAATAGCAAAATTTAACAGAACAGTAAACATCAAGTTCTGGCAAGGTTGTGGAGAAACTGGAACCCTCATTCACTGTTGGTGGGAGTGTAAAATTGTGCAACCACTATAGAAAGCAGTCTGGTGCTTTCTCAAAAAGTTGGAAATAGAAATACCATTTGACCCAGCAATTCCAACACTGGGAATATACCCTAAAGAAACCATAACAGCCACCCACGTAGATATAGGCACCCCCATGTTTACTGTGGCTTTATTCACAGTAGCAAAGAGCTGGAAACAACCCAAGAGTCCATCAACAAATGGCTAGAGAAGCTCTGGTATACTCACACTATGTAATACTATGCAGCACTGAAAAACAAGGAACTCATGAAACAAACAAAATGAGTGACCCGGAAGGACATTTTGCTGAGTGAAATATCTCAGGCACAAAAGGACAAATATTGTGCAGTGCCACTGTGGTAAAATGGGACTGACATCAGGGTTTGAGGGGACACTGAGAAAGAAGGATTAAATACTGTATAATGCATTGAAATATATGAGGGAAAGAACTGTTTAAAAGAGTTATGTGATTAGGTATTATTGTCATGACAGGAGTCCAGAATAAAGGCTGCACAGTGGAGTGGACTTGAGGGGAGGGATATATAACAATGAAAGAATTTTTCTTTACTTTTCAAAAAGAAGAACGAATGGGGGGCAAGGGGTGGGCAGGGAGAAAAGTGCAACAATGAATGAATGGAAATCCAATGTCTCTGTAAACTTTCATTAAAATTAATTTTTTATAAAAATCACAGTGACTCATACTTATTAGGTTTAGGGCTCTTATACTCCATTTAAGAGATACTTCTAAGTTTATAAAAAGAAAAGGGGAAAAGCACTCAAAAAGTATGAGAAAAACTATTACACCATGTGGAAGAATCGGAATAAAAGATCTTATCATTATTGTCAATTACATTTTAATTAAGGTAGAAATAATTATAAGGTGTTCATTATTGTTGCTGTTGTTCTGTACTCAAGAGTCAAAGCCAACCCATAGGTGACTCACCAGCTAGATTTCAGAGGCTGTAAACTGCACAGGTTTTGACTGTTCATTCTTTTCCCACAGAGCAGCAGGTGTATTCGAACTGCCTATCTTTGCAATGGCAGTACAATTCCTAACTACCACATCACCAGAGCCTCTTTACTCAGTATGAAGAAATAATCTGTTATCAGTTATTGTTGTTGCTATGTGGCACCAGGTCAACTTTAACTAAGTGATTTGAGGAACAGCAGATGTGAATCCAGTCCTCACTAGTGCCATCTTTGCCACCTCTTACATATTTGGGCCCACTGTACAGTCCTTTGACAATCTATCTAACTGAGGGTTTTCCTTCCTTGTACTGACCTTTCCAAGACTGAGGTCCTCTTCCAAGGACTTTTCCCTACTAACAACATGTCTCATGCATGAGTGACCAACTTTGCCTCCAAGACAGACCTTGGTAACCCTTTGGCCTACATATATCTGTTTGATCTTTTCGTAGTCCATGGGATACTTAGTATTATTCTCCAACAACAGAACTCAAAGAGATCAATTCTTCTTTTGTCATATTTAGTCACTGACTAACTTGTGATGCACACCAAGAAAATAAAATAGACCATGCATGGTTGGATCAGATGCACAATATGGCTCTTCAACCACTTTGGACTTCGTAGGTCATACTGTCTGCGTTCTAACTGTTCAACTCCACTATTAAAATTTAAAATATCAAATGAACCATAACCAATTTAAAAATAAATGGGTGTGGCTGTGTTCCTATAAAATTTTATATTTAAAAAATAGTTGATAATCCAATTTAGCCTGTAGGCCTAACACTGCCCTTGACTAAATCATTGATTGATTCATTTGCAAATATTAACCACCTAATTTATTAAGATACTCTGAAAATTGCACTGGAGCGCAGAGAAGCCAAAGCACAGGGAAGAATTCAAGATACTAAAGAGTTGAATAGAAGACTTCAAAAGGCAGCATGGGATGACAAAGCAAAATATTACAATGAAATATGCAAGGAGGTGGAGTAAAAATCAAAAGGGCCGAACTTGCTCAGCGTATCTTAAGCTCAAGGAACTGAAGAACAAATTCAAACCTCGAGTTGCTATAATTAAGGATGCTTTCAGCAGAATGTTAAATGATCCAGGAAGTATTAAAAGACGATGGAAGGAATATACTGAGTCACTGTATCGAAAGGAATTGGAAGACACAGAAGAATTTCATGAAACAACATATGAGCAAGAGCCTATGGTGATGAAAGAAGAAGTTCAGGCTGCTTTGAAGGAAATGGCAAAAAATAAGGCTCCAGGAATAGATGGTATACCAATTGACATATTTCAGTTAACAGATGCTGCCCTGGACATGCTCAACAAGTTATACCAAGAAATCTGGAGAACGACCACTTGGCCAACTGACTGGAAGAGATCGATATTTGTTCCTATCCCAAAGAAAGGCGACCCAACCGAATGTGGAAACTACAGAACAATCTCACTGATTTCACATGCAAGCAAGATTTTACTGAAGATTATCCAAAAACGACTGGAACAGTACATCAACAGAGAACTGCCAGAAGTCCAGGCTGGGTTTAGAAGGGGTCGTGGTACTAGAGATATTGTAGCTGATGTTAGATGGATCTTGGCTGAAAGCAGGGAATACCAGAGGAATGTCTATCTGTGTTTCGTTGACTATGCAAAGGCATTTGACTGTGTGGATGATAACAAACTATGGCTGACTCTGAGAAGAATGGGAATCCCAGAACACTTGATCGTTCTAATGTGAAACTTATACTTGGACCAGGAGGCAGTCGTCAGAACAGAGCAAGGGAACACTGCTTGGTTCAAAATTGGGAAGGGTGTACGCCAGGGATGCATCCTATCTCCATACCTTTTCAACCTATATGCAGAACAGATTATCCGGGAGGCTGGGCTCTATGAGGAGAAATGTGGGGTCAGGATCGGTGGACGATTTATCAACAATCTGCGTTATGCGGATGACACAACCCTGCTTGCTGAAACTGAAGAGGACCTGAGGCGCCTGCTGCAGAGTGTCAAGGACTGCAGCCTACAATATGGATTGAGGCTCAATGTCAAGAAGACAAAGATTCTCACCACTGGACCAATTGGCAGCATCAGGATGGATGGTGAAGAGACTGAGATTGTACACAGCTTTAGTTTGCTTGGCTCCACAGTCAACAGTCTTGGCACCAGCAGCCAGGAAATTAAAAGGCACATTGCCATGGGAAAGTCTGCTGTTAGGGACCTCTCCAAAGTACTGAAGAGCAATGGTGTCTCTCTGGAGACTAAGGTGTGTCTGATACAGGCCATGGTCTTCACAATCACTTGTTATGCATCAGAGTTGGACAATGACCAAGGAGGATAGAAGGAGAATTGATGCCTTTGAGCTGTGGTGCTGGAGAAGAGTATTGAGAATACCATGGACTGCTAGGAAAACAAACAGATTTGTTCTGGAAAGGGTTAAACCGGGTGGCTCCTTAGAGGCAAGGATTCTGAGGCTCCGTCTAACACACTTTGGACATGATGTGAGGAGAGATAGGTCCTTGGAGAAGGACATCATGCTTAGGAGGGTGGAGGGACAGCACAGGAGAGGAAGGCCCTCTTTGTGGTGGTTTGATTCAGTGACTGGGATAATTGGGATGGGCGTGTCAGAGACAGTGCGATTGGCACAGGATAGAGCAGAGTTTAGGGCTGTTGTACATAGGGTCGCTATGAATTGCAAGCGACTTGATGGCACATAAAAACAAACAACAAGTTTATTAAGGTAAACAAACTCTAAACTTTATACTATATACTTACTTTCCTAAATCAAATTTATTCCATTCAAGATTTAAGGAGGACCTTAAACTCTAATGTTTAAGAATTATGTTTTCATCCAGTGTAACATAACTGTTTTTTAATTTACACATATAAATTTATATAATTTAGTCATCTCATTAAATTCCATATCAACACTGAGAAAATCTAATAACACTTTTACTATCTTTATAAATCACTACTCTAAAAAAAAACCAAACAAACAACAACAACAAAAAATAAATCACTATTCTGTTTCACAAGCTCAATTATATCTAGGATATGAAGAGTAGGAGTGCCTTGAGTATTCCTTGTAGTGAAGCAGAGCTTTATTTTTGGTTTGCATTTAACCAAATGGGCTAATAATTTCCACAATAATTATAATTCTCTTCTGTTCATGTACTGTTACTGTTAGTACATTTTAATGGTTGGGGAAAAGTAAGGCAAGGAAAGCCAAAAAAATGTCAGCTATTCTGAACAGAGCTCTTCAAGAGTTGGGTCATGCATTCTGTCCATCATCACAACTGCCATTGTCTTTTCAGGACAGATTTCTTATGGAACTAGTCAATTACATAAATCTTCATGATATAGCAAAAAGAAACGATCATAATTTAAAGACTACCTTCATTTCATTCAGGAGAGAAGGCATCTTTAATACACTTTTGATGAGGATACAAATTAACTATTAAACTCTGAGGTACAAAAAAGTGTCACTTCTAAAATGGTTTCATTCAACTCTGAGCTCTTAGAAAATATATTTACCTTTCGTAATTGGTAACTTATCTCCATCACTGGTGCAGCAATCAGAGTAGAAAGCACTCCTCGGTGAATGGATGTTCCGGCATGCCAAGTCTGAATGGTAGCTATAAAGTCATGCAGAGGTGTCTGCACAGAATAAAGTAGCTACAAGAAAGGAGATCAGCCAAAAGTTGTGGTTTAAAAGAAAACCTTTAGAATTATCATTTCTATTGCCCCCTCCCCAAAATTAGGACTTATTAATCTTATTTGCCCATAACCAGTACCCACTACTCTCCTCAAGCTGATTTATGTTTCATAAAGTACCATGACCAGAAAATAAAAGATTTGCTTAAAGCCTACTTGTAGCTATCAATACAGACCTGTCTCGAAAAAAGAAAAAAGAAGAGAGAAACAGAGAAGACCAATGGCTGTGATGACAGTATGATTTTGTTCAGGAAACTACAAAATACTTTAAACAGTATAAACAAATTTGACAAAGATGTCAATATTTTTATATGAACTGGTTATTCAATAATAAGGTCATATCACTTAATAACTTCATACTAACGTTCAATCAGCAAAGGTAAACCCTTGCAAATTCTGTGCCTCTCAGTTCTAATTAGGATAAAGTTAATAAATGATTAAAGGACAACATATGGTAGGAATTAACATTTCACTCGTGAAAAGTTTTCATTAAATTGAAAGCTGTTGTTGTTCTTGTTATTGTGGCAATTCCAACTCACAGCAAACCTAAGAGTAGAATGTTCCACAGGGTAGATGATCAGGTTTTTCTTGCATGGATCTGCTGGTGCGTTTTGCATGCCCAGCTTCTGGTTAGCAGCCTACTTCTTTAACCATGCTACCTGGACTTTAGACTTCAGTTTAATCTAAAGTCTAGGTAGCATAGTTAAAATCTAAACTCTAAAAATTAGCATCTTCATAAGTTATCTTATTTGCAAGATTCTGTAAAATAATAATTTAGCGTGTATTAGTCTATTGGTAGATGTAACTCACTTCTAGTTTGTTAAACTGTACTAGTGGAAAAAGGTATTAGTGAGAAATTGTTCTGAGACTATCAAAGACCATGATCCTCTCTGGTTTTCCTTTGCCTTTCACCACAAGTACAAAGAATAATTTTTTCTAAGTGTGTCATGCAGTGAGGAAGATTGGAAGCATTACCTGGAAGCATAAGGGAATTGTCTCTTATACCATAATTCTCTTATATGATAATTACATTTTGTCAAACAGCTTGATTTCATAAGCAAAAGCTAAGTTAAATTTAAGTAGATATTACTTCAATATCTTTAGTCTAAGACACTGAACATTAAATGAGTAGTATTCACTTCACTAATGATATTACATAAAAATGGTAAATACCCGTAGGCCTTCTTCTGGTTGCTTTTTGAAGCACCGTGCAATACATTCCAACATGTTCTGAAAAACTTTCTGGATTGTGTCAAATAGTGTTACAACCTCTTCATTTGAATCTGATTTCTGAAGTAAGAGATTTCTCGTTATCTCTTTCAGAATGCCAAGAAGTAATGACATATAAAAAAATCCCTTCACTAGAAAGAAAATTGGAAACATTGGTTATGGAATCAGATAATTAGTTGAAATAGTAACATATTTTTCATTTACACATGTGTATAATGATAGCTTAAAAGGCAGTGTTTGTTAAGCCAATACAATTAATACAAGAAAAGAGGTTGGTCGGGTTTATCTAAATGCTATAAAAGTATAAAAGTAAATATAGTCTTTCCATAAGACCAAGATATTAACAATAATATTACATATTTGATATAGTCTCTACGCTAAGAACTATATTCACTTGTGCATGTGAATAGACAGCAACTTAGCAGTGTAACTCCTTCAACACCTGAATTAAAAAATGTGTTATTTTCTTGAATAATCATGCCAACCACCATCTATTATAATACTGGTAGCAATGACCTATCACAACATGACTTGAAAGTATCATGGGCTAATCTTGCTAAACTTCTAATTCATTTTTCTATTAATTTATTGCTTAGCTTTCTCACTTGAATATCTCCTGTACTGAGTTACATTTGTTTTATAAAATGTATCACTATATTTTAGTCTAATTATATAATTCATCCTTGAATTTTCATTTCCAAGCAACTTTGTAAATTAAGCTGTAAAAATTATAATAAAAACCATATATTATTAAAAAATTCTGTATTTTTCTAAATAAAGCCCACGGTGACTCTGTCCTCTAATGACCTCTCTTTTGACAATCAATATGCCTCAGCATTAATCAAGCATTACGTATGTGCATAGATTATTTCCCCATCTACACATTACATTCTTCAGAAGGAGAACCATTCTGCGTGAGTCTTTATTTTTTTATTACAGACACATCACAAAAAGGAGCTCCGGTGGCCCAGTGGCTAAGCAGTTGCAGTGCCAAGCCAGAGGCAAGCAGTTCAAAACCACTGGCTGCTCTTCAGGAAGAAAGTGGACAATCTTCTTCTGTATGATTTACCGTCTCTAAAGATCCACTGAAGGGTCAGTTATGAGTTGGTTCTGACTCAACACCACATAACAACACATCAAGAAAATGTTTGTTAAATGGAAGCTAAATCTTCAAGTAAGAAATCATGCTCCTCCTCAGAGCTTTATGTAACTGATCAATGATAGGACCTTATACAGGGAATGAGAATAGTAAGGTCAGTTTATAAGTAGATTACTAAAAAAAGAATTAGCTCTGTTTGAGACAATACAAGAAACTAGCCAAAATTCCAAATCTTCCTGCTAAAAACGAGTAACTTATTATGATCTAGTTAAGTGTATCCCTTAAAAATCAAAAGCTCTACCAGAATCACCAATCAACTCGGGGGAGGGGTGAAAAACAAACAAACAAACAAACACAACCTGCCAATCACCGAACAAAAGTTAACAGAATGCTGTGATCATTAAAGAGAAAAAAATAAATCAGAGAGAGATGATGCACCAAGATGGTGGACAGTGAGGATGAGTACAGGGGAAGGCCCGGATGTGGGAGAACCACAAGCATGGACAGTTTCTATGCTTACTGACAAAAATATGAAAAGTGAAAACATTCAATTTTGTCTTTTAAACAAAAGCACAAACATAATGGTTACAAAAAATAGGATATACTGTTTTAAAAAGATCAGAATTCTCATATAAATAGAAGATGAATTTTTAAAGTTTTCCAGTGCTGTCAGTCTGCTACAACACTCCTTTAAAGCAAATTCATTAAGAAGCAACAAGTATATTTTTAAAAATCCACTACAGAGGAGTTGAGTGCAACTTGTAACAGGTCTCCAACAGGTTTTTGAGGCTATATATCTAGAGGAGACTATCCACGCTTCTCCTGTGGAAAATCTAGTGGATTCAAATCATCAATTTTGGGGCCTTAGCCCAACATGTCATGCACTAAACCCTAAAGGGTAGATCAAATCAACAATCTCAATTCAGTAGGAGCTGACTTCTAGCCAACCTGCTGGGGGTTTTCTGAAGCTGTAATCTCACAAGAGGAGATTGGTAATCTTTCTTCTGCAAAATTGCTTATGGAATGGATTCCTTTGGGCTGAGAGCAAAACTCTTACCCACAAGGCCACCAGGGTGCTCATAACTGGTATGCTGTGGGAGCTGTAATGTGCTGTGAGAATCGACCCACAACCAACCCTCTGGAAGGTTTGCAATGGTGGTAAATTGTATGGGAAGAGACTGCTAGTCCATCTCCCGCAGAGCAACTGGTGGATTCCAACCACATGCCTTCGGGACTGCTAGAATACAAGGGTGGGATTATCAGTATAATCCATGTTGGCTCAAGACAAATCCTATGTAAACACATTCATTCATTCATTCATTTAATAGAAATAAACTATTCTTTTTAGTTTTTCTGGGTTAAAAAAACCTGCTTACAGTTATTTTCTTATTTTTCTGTTACACAGTACAGACATACAAATCTTTTCCAACGTTAGCTTTTTTAGTGCCTTATACTGCAGAATACATGGTTTCTTCCCAAACATTTACTGAGTCATAGCAGAAACATTTGTATTATTTTAAGTTTGACATTTTTTTTTGTTTCAGAGAGAACTCAATGTATTCAATGTATTCTTTTCTTTAGCATCTGTTTCAGTTTACAGAATACCTGCCATATTTAAGTATTAGTAATATAAATGTATACCATTTATTTTAATTTCAACTACCATTAGGATATTTTGGTGTGCAAATAATCCAAAGAACTGTGGACTCCATTCTATGGTTGACTCTGGAAACATTATGCTGAGTGAAATATCCCAGTCACAAAAGGACAAATATTACATGATGCCACTGTTGTAGAATGGGACTGTCCTTGGGGTTGGGGAGAGACTGAGTAAGATGGGTTCAATAATGTATACTGCACTGAAACAGAGGAGGGAGAAAACCGTTTAAAAGAGAGATATAACTAGGTATTTCTGTCATCACAGGAGACTAGAACGAGGGCTACATGGTGGAGGGGACCTGGGGGAGGGTTTGTAAAACAATGAAAGAATCTTTTCTTTTACTTTTCCATAATTTTTGGACTCATGTACTTATAACTTGTTAGTCAAATTTGTGTCTTCTAGGTTGCAACACCCCCATGATACATCTTCAAGAATATGTACATGTACAGCCAAGCACAATCAATAAGAGTGCATCTAAATTCCAAAATCAATCTCCATAAGAGTCTATGTGTTTCCTACTGCCAAAGGGGCCCTTTAGAGTAGTGAGAGAAGATCTTCACCCTGAAACCCACAGCGTCCCTTTTCAGCAGGAAGTAGCTAAGAGAATACGCCGTCCCCTTTTCCTTATGACTCAGGGTGAAGTCTCTCTCAGGGAGGAGTGATAGGGAATGGCAAAGGATACACTGACAAAGAAGATTAATCAGAACTGGCTTTGACAAGCACTGTGGCATTTGGACAAGAACAAACTGGGAGGAGGGTAGAGAGAATAGTGCAACAATGAATGAGTGGAAGCCCAAAATCTCTGTAAATGTTTATGAAAATTAATAAAATATAATTATAGGAAAAAAAAAAAACAAAGAACTGTGGACTCCATTCTATCTACCACGCTGGGATGTTAAATAGGATCTTATGTGTATTTGTAACAGGGTGGAAAAAGATTATCTGCATAGCTGATGTTATTCTGATTTCTGGAATGCCTAGACACAAAGATCATGTCAGTTTGGTTGGTAACATAAAATCAGTAGCTTGGGTCCTTATTCTGAGGGGATCTCTATGTGAGAAAACTAGGTGGTACAGTGGAAACTGGCTACATTAGAAAGCTAAAATTCTAACTGGCACCTCATAAAAATGAAATTCATAAATAGCAAAAATAGATGTAATCCTAAAAATAAAATCACCCCTTACAATATAAAAGCTAATTTCTAGCATTATGATTATTACCTTTTATATCTAAACTGCAGTTTTCACACTAGAAAGTAAGAATTACAGTATCACTTACTCCCAGGTCTTTTCTGAATGCAGCTAGAATTTCTGGCAATTCTGTTGCTGTATGTTCCAGTCATTTTTTTAACAGCATTATACAAAGAAAAAAGGCTAAATGTTTAAATAATGGTTAACCTTAATGAGGATACTTGAAAGTACAATTTCATATATCATTTAAAAATTGAAAACACTAGTGAGATTGTGGAGAAGTTCATTATCATCAATTAGAATAAGGCCAGTGTTGACTTTGGAAAAGACTAATTACTCATATACAAGTTCAAATTGAAACTAAAGATAACTTGTTCCACTAAGTGAAGATACAAATCTGAGTATATACCATCTAAATTTAGAGAAAACCTCAAGAAAACATTTGATGTACTGAATACTAATGACAAAAAGACAGTCAAGTTGTGAGATGAAATAGACATCACATATATGAAGCAAAAAATCTTTTAAAAAGATAGGAAAGAACAAAGTAGCTATCAGAACATTCTCTGAAATTTGCATTAGAATATAGGGAAGTTAAAGCAAAAAGAATAAACGAAGAAGAGATCTGAAAAGAAGATTTCAAAGAGAAATTCAAGAAGACCAAGTATTGTAAAGAAATGAGCAAAAACCTGGAGTTATAAAACCACAAAGTGAAGAATACACTTACTTGCCATTCATTAAGCTCAAGAACTGAGAGGAAAAAAATGCAAGCCTTGAGTTGTAAGACTAGAGAATTGTCTTGGCAAAATACTGAATGATGCAGGAATCATCAAAAGATAGAAGGAACATACAGAGTTGCTGTACCAAAAAGAATAAGTGATTGTTCAATCATTTTAGGAGGTTACAGATAAACCAAGAATCAACAGTACTGAAGGAAGAAGTCCAAGCTGTACTGATAGGAATGATGACAAGAAAAACTCCTGGATTTGACAAAATACCAAAGGAGGTGTTAAACAGATATAGTCCTAGGCGAGCTTACTCACCTAGGGCAAGGAAGGAATCTGGAAAGCAGCTACCAGCCAACTAATATGTGAGTGCTCATTCACAAAATAAAAAGTTAACTGTAAAACACAAAAATTACTCAACAAAATCATAATATAAACAAGATGGATGGACACAGCGACTACCACAACGGGCTTGAGCACAACAGACTGTGAGGATGGTGTAGGAAAAAGCAAGGTTCAGATCTGGTGTTTACTATGAGTAAGACTACGAGTTTGCTATGAGTCATAGTCATTCTAACAACTACAGCATCATTAATACTACAAGCTGATGATTATTTAAAAATGGCAATAGCAGTGCCTTAACAGAAAACTTCCATCGAGCTGGATTCACACATGACTGTGGAATGAGGGTATATCACAGATGATGTCTGATGGATCTTGGCTAAAAGCAGGAAGATGTTTGCTGGTGCTTGTTAATAAATAATTGATTATGCAAAATCCTCTAACTGTGTAGATCATAGTAAATAATATTCAATATTGTAAAGAATGGGAATCTAAAGACTGGCTGGTGCTTGTGCAGAATCTGTGCACAGACCAAGAAGCAGTCATTCAAGCAACTCAGGAGGATATGACGTGGTTTAAAACCAGGAAAGGTGAATGTCAGGGCTGTTATCTGTTCACCATATTCCAATCACTCTACGCTGGGCATACAGACTGAAAAGCTGCACTATACTAAAAAGAATGTAATCAGGGTTGGAGACTGACTCATTAAAAATTTGCATATGCAAATGATACAACCTTGCTTGCAGAAAATGAAGACTGGAGTACTTACTTATAAAGCTCAAAAACTATAGCCGTAAAAAAACCAACCAAAACTATAGCCTTCAGAATGGTTTATGTCTCAACATAAACAAAAATTGTTGATCCACAACCAGCACCTATGGGAGGAGCTACTAAAATAAAAAAAACAACAAACAAGCTGAAAGCAGGGAATACCAGAGGAATGTACGTCTATGTTTCATTGACTATGCAATGGCATTTGACTGTGTGGATCATAACAAACTGTAGTTGACTCTCAGAAGAATCGTGCTAATGAGAAACCTATACTTGGACCAAGAGGCATTCCAGAACAGAGTAAGGAAACACTGCATGGTTCAAAATTGGGAAGGGCGTACACCAGGGATGTGTCTTGTCCCCATACCTTTTCAACCTGTATGCAAAACAGATTATCCGGGAGGCTGGGCTCTATGACAAGAAATGTGGGGTCAAGATTGGTAGAAGATCTATCAACAATCTGCATTATGCAGATGACACAACCCTGCTTGCTGAAACTGAGGAGGACCTGAAGCACTTGCTGCAGAGGGTCAAAGGACTGCGGCCTCCAATATGGACTGAGGTTCAATGTCAAGAAGACAAAGATTCTCACTAGACCAACTGGCAGCATCAGGATGGAGGGTGAAGAGATTGAGACTGTTCACAGCGTTAGTTTGCTTGGCTCCACAGTCAACACTCTCGGCACCAGTAGCCAGGAAATTAAAAGACAAATTGTGATGGGAAAGTCTGCTGTTAGGGATTCCAAAGTACTGAAGAGCAATGGTGTCTCTCTGGAGACTAAGGTGCGCCTGATACAAGCCATGGTCTTTGCAATCACTTGCTCTGTGTCAGAGAGTTGGAAAATGACTAAGGAGGATAGAAGGAGAATAAGATACCTTTGAGCTGTGGTGCTGGAGAAGAGCATTGAGGGTACCATGGAGTGCTAGGAAAACAAACACGTTCATCCTGGAAAGGGTTAAACCAGGCTACTCCTTGGAGGCAAGGATTCTGAGGCTCCGTCTAATATACTTTGGACATGTTGTAAGGAGAGACCGGTTCTTGGAGAGGGACATCATGCTTGGGAGGGTGGAGGGATAGCACAGGAGGGGAAGACCCTCTATGATGTGGATTGATTCAGTGGCTGGGGTAATCGGGATGGGTGTGTTGGAGACAGTGCGACTGGCACAGGACAGAGCAGAGTTTAGGGCTGTTGTACATAGGGTCGCTATGAGTCGCAAGCGACTTGATGGCACATAACAACAATAACAGCAACAATATTGAAACAGGAAAATGTAATCTAAAAAACCTCTTTCAGGTGCTAATGATGATTTCAAAGATGGCAAGAATTTCAAAGTTGTCAAGGATTTCAAAGATGTTAAAGATTCAAGTGTCACTAATCCAAGCCATGATATTTTCAATTGTTTTGTACCCATGTGAAAGTTGGACAACAAGTAAGGAAGAATGAAGAAAATAGGTCCCTCAGCAAGATGGGATGGCACAGTGGCTGGAACAATGGACATACAAGAGCGTAAATTGTGAGGATGGCCCAGGATCAAGCAGGACTCAATTCTATTGTACACAGAGTCAATGTGAAAGCACCTAAGAACAACAGGGTGTGCCATGGAGCTGTTTACAATTATGGGACTAGGACCACCGGGAATTAACTACAAACTTAATATAACCTTAATGCATCTAATATTCAAGTCTTAATGCTGACTTTCTAAAATGATTTCCAATAATTTTCCATCTCTTCAAGCAACCATGTACACATAAAGAAATTTAAATATCAATCTTTTACGTTTCTATAACCCTCAGAAAGAGCCAAATACAGAACAGCAAAGTATAGTAAAAATAATTTGGGATTGGTTCCACATAATAATTACTCCATAGAGGCAGTTGCACTGGAGGTAGGTTACAGCCCAGCAGTACTCCTCTTTGCCACAATCTGTTCTCAGAAGTGCAAAGGAGATGAGAAAATGCCCTCCAGGACCAGATGTTCTTCTGTGCCAAACCTCCCTACACTCTCCTCCCTACCATTCATTTTGCAAAAACCTGGCCCTGGGGATCCATTAATAAAATGCTCAAGATAATCAATCAACAATGTGGGGCAGGTGCTAACTTCCTCTCAGCTTCACTACAGCACCTGGAAGAAGGCTGACTTTTCACTCATTTCTTCAACAAATTTTAATCAATATAGCAAACCTAAACACTTTTATCAGGCTGTCTTATTTAATACCATTGAAGGAAATAAAACTTTCCCGCCAGTGCTACCAAATAAAGACTTCCATGAAGACCACTCATTTTTAACAGATATTTGAGATGTTTTAAAGCAAACTTGGAAAAATGAAAGCTACTATGATGGGCATGCTACTTTGGCCAGCCAACAAGCTTGTCCCTGGAGTAACAACTCTGTGTTCCTGTTATTGTTGTTGCAGTGAAGTCAGAATTAAGCATAGCTAATCCTCCAGAGGGTTTTCAGAGACTGTAAATCACACTGGAAGACACTGTCCAACTTTCCCCCTCAGAGCAGCTGCCAATCCAAAGGTATAAAGTTCAAATCCTACCATAAGGCCATCAAAGCTCTCATGTGGCCCAAGGAGGGGCACTAAGTAACAACTCCTGACTCACCCACTATCCCCCATAGAAGACCCCTGATCAAGACAGTACTAGTGAAAACTCTGTGTGATACACTCTATGAAGGCCAGCTAAGATGTCTCTCTCCTTTCTGAAAAAGGAAATCAGCTCCAGACTTCCTTCCACTGGGCACCTTGTTTACCACAAGGAAAAGTCTGACAATGAAGCCAATCACAAAGAATAGTAGAACCCTAAGGACCTCATTAGAAACTCTGAGTTTAGCCATGTCTGATACCAGGAACATCTCTGAACACCCTCATTGTACCCGTTGATAAAGCCTTTCTTCATAGAAGCAAGTTTGCCTTACTTATCTTTTACTTACAAATCAGAGTTATGATAGCAAACTAAATTGGGGAAGGGGGAATTATCAAGGGAAGAAGAGTGCAAGGGAAGGAGGGAGGGAGAGTAAGAGAAGAGCAGGGAGGAAAGAAGGAAGTAATAGTTTTAATTCTAACTGCTATTTTTCAAAGTCCTTTAACAAATGAAGCATACCTGTTTGCATAATTCTAAGACTTCGCTTTAAAAGTTGTATCTGAAATTTATAGTCACCAAGGCCAACCATCACAACATCTTTGCCCACAGTGAGATAGGTCTGCAAAAGAAATAAACACAGTGAGGTGACATAACAAAAGCCATTAAAAAAAGAGTAAGTGCACTCTCACAAAGCTTGTAATAATTGATGTACTAGCTGTCTCATAAAGCAGAAATTAAGGAAGATTCCACTAAAGTATATCGTGCAAATTGTGTTGTTTAAAAATTCAAGATGGTTAAATACCACTTTCATGTTTAAGAAGTGTAAAACCAATGTGTAAAATTATAAATTTAAAATAGAAAATAAACCCTGAAGCACCTAACAAACTTGCTAAAGAGAAAGATTTCTGTCTTAAGATTTCAAACCTGAAAGAAAAAAAAAAAGACTTCAAACCTGAATGACTTGCTGATAAATAACTCTATGGAGCTTCAAATATTCTTCTTCTTGATCTTGAATAAAAGGTAAAATTTTGTTTTCTAACCAAAATCCAGCATCTTCCAAAATAGATAGATAAATATTTTCTTCTGAAGAAAACTGTGCAATGACAACAAAAATAAATTAACAATAAAATAGCTGTAGCAATACTGTTCTTATTCCAATATAAAAGAGAAAATAAAACTCACCTTGTACTGAAGATGAATACTAAATCGACAATGGAGACTAAAGGCTTGGAGGGCTGTGGCTTGATTGAAATGATGAGGTTTCTCACCTGATGACTGTAAAATTGATTCTAGATCCGCCTGAAGATTAAAAAATGTTAAGGGTCATGTTATGATTAGTAAATTACCACACTGTTCTGTAACTGTGAGCCCAAATTTAAAGCACTTAATAGCTGCACTTTGAATACTACAAAAAAAAAAATAAGGCTTAAGTAGAGCACTGGTGGCCTAGTGGCAAGAAGCCACACTGCAATCCCTAAGGCATGCGGTTCTAATCCACCAGCTGTAATTTATTGTCTCTGAACCCATCGGAGAGTTAGTTATGGGTTGGTATAAAACAATAACAACAACAACAGTCATTAAAGTGAATTTATCAATAATCAAAGCTTTTGGCAAGCTCTGGTGGCCTACTGGCAAGAAGGTGCACTGCAATCCCAGAGGTACTGAGTTCAAATCCACCAGATGCTCTGCTGAAGAAGGAGTGACAATCTCCTCCTGTACCAGTCAGATCCGATTTGACAGTACACAGATAAAAAGTAATAATAATAAAAAAATTAATAATCAAAGCTTTTGGAAAATTTTTAAATACTTTCACTACCGTACCTACTGTATATATCCTCTTTCCTAAAGACAAATCAAAACTTATCAGGTGCAAAAGAAACAAAGGCACCTCAATCAAGGAATGAAGTTATCAGAGCCCTCTAACACCACGGCCAAGAATGCTTTGGAGGTTCCAAGAACCTCCTGTCTGTTGTCTTCTCCCAAAAGCACACCCATAAGAGTGTGTTTTGTGCTTCACTGCAAATTGCAAGGTTGGCTGTTAGAATACACCAGCTACTCTGCAGGCAATAGATGGCAGTCCCTTGGAGGGTGTCATCATGAGTTGGAATTAACCTGTTGGCAATGAACCTGGTGGTTGTTTTTTTGCAAACAGAAATAGCAATGTAAGCTTTGGAAAATATGTAGAAGGGTTTATTATTTGTTTCTCAGCAGTCACAATGGAGAAGGAACTTTTAACTAATGTTATTATTGTGAATGACAATCTATGGTTAGCTTTCTTTCAAAGATACAACAACCTCAAGTTTCTGGCAATTCTGAAACACAATATAATGAAACAAAAGTAAAATGCTTCATTATTTAAAGGGAGCAAACATATAATGTCATCTCTTCACTCAACACACTGATCCTCTGTCACACACATCTCTTACTTGGTAACATGGAAAATGTAACACTGACTTTAATGTGACAACCTGATCATTGTGTCTTGCCAGTAACAAGTAGGAACCATTGTTAATTCAGCAATGGCACTTTTGAGAGGAATATATAGTTTTGAATGTGTAAAACATTCTGCTATTTGACCTTCACAAAATACATGAGAAATCTGAATTCACTGTCAAAGGGTAGTTGAAATAAGAATACATTTTCAACTGCCACTTATCATTGCAATCATTTCTCTAGAAAAACATAACAGAGTAATTCTACAGAGTGTACTGGATTCTAGGGATCTTAACATCATAGGAACCCAGGGGAGTTGTGGTTAAGCACTGGATTACTAACTGAAAGTCTGGTGGTTTGAACTCACCAACCAATCATTCTTTCAGACAAAGTATGCATCTGGAAGACTACAGTGGGGGCAAGCCTATCAAGCAGTCAGTCCTTCTGTCTGATCGGATCATTAGGACTCAGAACTGACTTAATGACAACAGGAATGCCAACTGTGCTCTGGTGAGGAAAACACAGCCTGCCAGACAAGCTTCCTTGGGCATATGCTTCCTCATTTTACCTAAATCCACTAACAATCCTAACTTCAAGAAAGCAGTAATACACTGAAGAAATAAATGTATGCCCTTTCTAAGAAGATGGCGTCGAAAGCAAAGAAGGAAGCCCCTGCCCCTCCCAAAACTGAAATCAAAGGAAAGCCATTAAAGGCCAAGAAGGCAGTCCTGAAGGGCATCCACAGCCAAAATAAAAAATCTGCACTTCACCCACCTTCCGGCAACCTAAGATGTTGAGACTCTGAAGGCAGCCCAGATACCCCCAGAAGAGGACCCCCAGGAGAAACAAGCCTGACCACTATGTCATCATCAAATTTCTCCTGATCACTGAGTCAGCCATGAAGAAGATAGAAGATAACAACACACGTGTGTTCATTGTGGATGTCAAGGCCAACAAGCACCAAATTAAACAAGCTGTAAAGAAGCTCTATGACACTGATGTGGCTAAGGTCAACACTTTGATTAGACCTGATGGAGGAGAAGGCCTATGTTCGACTTGCTCCTGACTATGATGCTTTGGATGTTACCAACAAAATTAGAATCATCTAAACTGAGTCCAACTGGCTAATTCTTAATACAAATTTTTCTCACCAAAAAAAAAAAAAAAATCAATGTATACAACTAGGCAAGCACCTCTACCAACCAAGCAACTGACTGCCAAATCTTAACCCTGGTAAACCCAAACCTGTCTATTCATTGCCTAAACACAAGCCACTGAATGGGCCTAAAAAAAATAAATAACCCTGGTAACTTCCAGGCTCACTGCAAATGCAAGATCACACAAACAGAAACTAGTAACGTGGAGCCTTTCTTGGCAATATCATACACTCTTTGTCAACTCTCTTCCTCAGGTAAGACTACTGCACACTTCCTCCTTCCATACAGTCCCTGTCCCACAGCAGGACGCTGATGCATACATATTGACTCTAATAAAGCAATCATTAGAGGTTAAAAAATGGTTGGCTTTTAGAAGAGATAAAGGACAAAAACCAGAACATTAGATAAGGAAAAGGGTGAGTTTGCCAGGTAGCAGATAGTACAGTTTACGACTCTGCAGAGATTGCTAGAATAAGCTGTTAAGGACTTTACATGGAATCTAGTATTTCCACATTAATAGGTAGGAACAGCAAGGGAACATTTATGTAACAATGAGTCTTACTATTGACTGCTGTGTTCTGTGAAACAAAGATTATACATATATGTCCTATTTCTCTAATTAGATTTGACCTTCAAAAAAAAAATTACACTCTAAACACTGCTTATTAGTAAGCCTGGAGTCAGGAAATTTTTAACATTAGTCCCAAACTTGCCACTACTGTAACATCACCTACGTACAGGTGTTACCTTATCTTTAAACTGAAGTAGGCAGACTAAAAAAACTCTCAATTCTCTTCTGGTTCTAACAGTGTTATAGTGCTATATATATTTAGTCTGATGGCCTAATGGTAGGAGTTGTGCTGCCAACCCAAAGGTAAGCAGTTTGAATTCTCCAGCAGCAATGTGGGAGAAGGATGGGCAATTTCCTCTTGAGTGATTTACAGCTTCTCAAAGCCTGCTTAGAGGGTCAGCTATGACTGGTTCCAACTCAATAGCAATGAAGTAGATTAGGAGCCCTACAGGCAGCATAGGAAGGTCTGGTGGCCTAGTGGCAAGGAGTTGTGTTGGTAACCCAAAGATACACAGATCAAATCCACAAGCTGCTCCATGGGCAAAAGATGTGTAATCTTCTCTCGTGCAAGAGGGTCAGCTATGGGTGAGTTCCAAATCAAAGGCACAATACACACAGACACACTGGTAGTATAGGGGAGCTCTGGTGGGTTAGTGGTAAGGAGTTGTGGTGGCAATCCAAAGGTATGAGGTTTGAATCCTCCAGCTGCTCCATAGGAGAAAGATGGACAATTTCCTCCCTTGAGATTAAATGCCTCTAAAAACCTGCTGATACGTCAACTATGAGTCAGTTCCAATTTGAAGATACACAACAACAAAAATGAAAGATAAGGTACCCTGATGAGCCTTGGAAATCCTCTGAGACAGTTTCACTCTATAGAAGAGTCATAATTAGTTGGAATCAAGAGAGTGGAAATGGAGGCATATGTATACATATATATGCACAATGTGAATCCTACAGACTCCCTGCCATTATTCTAGGGAATAACTCCATTTTCAGGGCATCCGTATGCATTCTGTAAAGTTACCTTTGATGTGTCAAGTGCTTTTAAAAGAAGGTTCAGTTTCTTTCGTGGAGCAGAGAGCAGGCATTCCCGATTCTTTGGATGGGTCAGCAAATACTCCAAGTAAATCAAAGCTAAGTGAGGCTTTATGGGGCGTGTATCATGAATTTGAACTTTTCGTTTAGATGCTGAATTACTCTGAAAGAAGAATGAACTGATAATCAAGACATGTTTCTGAAAATAAAAAACCCACAGAACAGAATTTTACGTTTTCATGGAATCTAGGAATACTGTGGCTGGATGAATCCCTTACAGTACTGATCTGAAATAATCTTATGCTATCAAACCAAAATTATCCCCTGAAGTCTTCTTTAAACCAAAAATCAGCTTAACTGTAAAAAATGCCTGCCTTCACCATTGTGTGATTTTTAAGAATTATCTGTATAAGATAGAACTGACAAAACTCAAAAGATTAAAAGCAAATTTAAGGAGTTTTATGTTAAGAGGGGAGGAACAATTCACTCAAAAAGGGAGAGGGGTGTTCAACTTGAAGAATGTAATCAATGTCGATGAATTGTACACATAGAAACTGTGACCTGGTGTACATTCTACTGTGTATATTCTCAACAACAAAATAAAATAAATTATACATATAAAATATTTAAAAACATATATTCTTCCCCAGATTTATTCAGATCAAGTAAGAGTTTAGCTAAATTAATAAAGAATATCTGCCTGGAGCCTTGTGTTCTCTTAAAGAAATTTCTATATAGGATCAAACTGATAAAAACAATTCCAAAGGCCAGAAATTGATTATGAAGCATAGAGAGCAGTAGGCCTAGGTTATTGGAGGAGTAAAAATACAGAAATGGAATAAGAATGATTGTACAACTTAAAGAATGGAACCAACATGAGCATGCAGCAATTATTGAACTGCTGTGCTTTGCTGTAGATAACCTTAACAATCCTCAGTGAGGATTTCTAGAAAAAACAAAAAATTTCTAATACTTGCTATCATACCCCAAATTTTACAGAAACACTGCCCCAAAATACCTTGCTTGGAGGCTGTTCCTCAGGCAACCAATCAGAAAAGAGCTCCAGAATATGTCCCACTTGTCCCCAGGAACAGAGGCAATCTAACAAAGTACAATAGTTCTTATCTACAGCTCCTTCTTCTTGACTTCTTAATGTGGAGATGACACTGCAGCTAAAAAGATCAAATATGCAAAGAAATTGGTCTGAAGGTTTCAAAAGCAATTTCCTATTTTTCTAAATAAGAGGAAAATTAAGAAGTTAAAAATCTGAAAATACATAGGATTATTATATTACTATGTAACACTTTGCATTTTCCTATAGTTAATATGTATATTACAATACAAAATACTTTTATTTTAAATTAGCTTGGGGAAGATTCAAAGAAAAATAGTGCACATAAATTTCATCAACATTTTTGTCATCTTTGTTAGATTTTAGGACAACAATTTTTAATATTTTGGAAATAATTTTCTTACTGTCAAAATAGTAATTTTTTTCATAAGTAATAAATAGAAGTAAGGTAACTTTTTAAACGGAGATAATAACTGACATTAGAGAACAATGGTATCTGATTTTAAAACTATAAAACAATGTTCTCTATGCCCTCCCAAACTAGGTAGTATTTTACAAAATCATTGCTCCTGCATGCTGCGTAGTATTCATTATGCCAAGTGAACAAACTCAGTCTCATAAAGACAAGTATCACGTAAGACCATTACTGTAGAACGAGTATGAGGATCCAAGGGGAGCAGAGTGTGGGAGGAGAGGCCTAAGGATGGAGGGAGGCGTTAATCATAGGGTCGCACAATCTGACGGGTAGAGAGAGGTGGAAAGATCTGGTGTGAAAAACAATGTATTCAAACTTCATATATAAACCAGTACAGAATAAAATTTTTAAGAAATTATCTAAAACAATCCACACTGGTAAGCCACACAAGTAATAAAACATATTCTAGCAGCCACATTAAAAAAATAAATAAAAGAAATAGGTAAAATTAATTTTAATATGATATTTTATTTAACTAGAAATGTATTTTAACATGTAATCAAAACAATCATTGATATTGTATATTCTTTTACCCTAAGTTTTGAATTCATGTGTTTCGCTACCATTTACAGAATATTTGAACTCAGACCTGCCATAAAGTGCCCAAAAGACAGATGTGGTTAGTGGCTGCCATCTACAGAGTATCCAAATGCAAAGTTTTAAGACAGGAACTCCCCTCGATTTTAAACAGGAACTCCCCTCGATTTTAACGACAGTGTAAATTCCACACAGTTCCCTCCTTTATTACTAGGAACTAGACAGTACAATGAACACTGGCAACCTGAATTCTTTATGCCACAGGGAGAAAGTCAGCAGCTGCTAACACATTATAGAAGAGCTATTAACAGTGTGAAAAACAATGTATTCAAACTTTGTAAATAAACTAGTATAAAATGTAAAAATATTTTAAAAAATAATCTACTACGAAAATAAAAACCAAAAAACTAAGCAAGCACCCAGAATAAACTCTTAATTTGAAAATGAAAAAAGAGCCATTAAGAAAAGTTCAAACGGGACACTTAGAGATAGTCTGCTGAATTTTATAACAACAATTAAGCACAACCACCATTTTACTGAAAAAGATAAGACAGTACCTGAAGGGAAGGACAGCAGAGGCTGGTACAAAGGACATTAATATAAATAAAGGAGTTTTACAGCGATCATCCTAAAACCAAAAGAGGATATTTTAAATATTATGATTTTTAAAACCTCTTCATATAACTTCTGAATATCTTATAGTCAAGTTTTTCAGGAAAAACTAATACTAACATTTCAATATCCAAAGGAAAAAAATAAGGTCAATTGGTAAATTGCATTTTTGAGAAAACAGAGAAAATTATTTGATTAGCATTCCTAGGAGAGTTCTTGGAGATGGTGCAGCCAGAGTGCTCTTTGGAGGCAACAGTGATGAGACTTTGCCTCACATACTTTGGACATATTGTTAGGAGGGGCTATTCCTTGGACAAGGACATGATGCTGAGAAGTGTGGAAGATCAGCAAAGGAGAGGAAGACCCTCAAACAGGTGGACTGACACAGTGACTGCTACAATGGGCTCCTGTGTGTCAGGAAGTGTGAGGATGGCGCAGGACAGAATAGGGTGCAGATCTTTTGTTCATATGGTCAGTATAAGCCATACACGTCTCAACGGCACCTAACAACAGTGGGTAAGGAGCTGTGCTGCCAACTCAAAGAAGTGGTTCAGATCAACCAGCAGCTCCATGGAAGAAAGATGGGCAACCTCCTCCAGTGCGATTATAGCCTCTGAAAACCTAATGGAGGGAAGGCCATGAGTGGGTTCCGATTTAACAGCACACAGCAGCAACAAGAATTCTCAAACTTTGACATAACAGTAAAACTGTGTGCTGTTAATTTATGCAAATTTTATACCATACCAGGCATCAATCCATACCCTAGAGTTCTAGCATAACAAACCCAGACAAAATTCCTTGCTGTCATAGAGCTAACATCTATTTTAAAAATACTACTGCTAAGAGGAAAAAAATATTAAATTAACTTATCCTGAACATAAATTTCAAGAGAATAAATCCATCCAGTGAAAAATTTACAGAACTAATTTAAATGTCTTTATTAAGACAGTTGTGGGATGGCCTAGTTGCAAGAAGCTGTGCTGCAATCCCGAAGAGCACATGCAATCCCGAAGAACTGCTCTGCGGGAGAAGGATGGGCAACCTCCTCCCCATGCGATTAACTGCCTCTGAAAATCTGCTGGAGAGTCAGCTAGGTTGGATCTTACTCTACCATACACAACAACAACAATTAAGACAGTGTGGTTTAACAGAAAATTCATAGGGTAAAGCTACCTAGCCAAACTGAAGTCCAAATTAGACTAGTTTAATTTACTAAGCTTTAGTTTTCTTTTCTGTAAAATGTAGGAAGAACTAAATGAGATAAAACCCAATTGCAATAGCTAGTACATTACTACTTATCTTGTCATCTAAATATTTCACATTTAAGACAAAGTAAAAAGAATTATTACCAAACTGTTCTTTAGTATAAACAATGTGCACTTGGTAGTAATAATGTGCAAAGTGAGAATTAACAATGATTATAACACTTAAGGCTATGTACTAACAAGGCAATGGTCTAGCAGTTTATGCAATGATAGTTATCTTTCATTTTTCAAATGTTAATTTTCACAAGATGCACTAATCTTTGGAACTAATCATATCAATAAGTGAAGTGGGTGTATATAAGTGCTCAATATATTTTAGCTTTTTTATTATAAGAATTTATATTATAAGAATTTACTAGAAGAATAAGGAAATTAGTAGCTCAGCTTTGATCATGCAAAAAACAGCTAATTTATTAAAAACATACACAAAATGGAAACAGAAGAAAAAAACCCAAAATTTAATCTGTAGTTAGTTTGCACCGGTTATAGTAAATACACTTATTCCTTCCCAATAAAAACAAAATATTTTCCCAATCCTTAAAGAAAAATGGTAATTACTGCTGATTCCATTTTTCATGTGGCTCCTTATTTAATTACTTAGAACATGCCCACAATATTCCCTAAGCAATGTAGGATAGTGATTCTTACCAGCGTCACCCAGAATGGTCTTTCTCAAGTTCCTATAAACCCCAAGCTATGATGTTCATGTATTACAGCATCCTGAAGGATTCTTTATTTTCTAACATTTTTTATATGATAGTTTCTTAAACCAATGTAATCATTGTTGTGAGGTGCCATCGAGTCAAGTACGACTCATAGTGACACTATCAGCAAAAAAATCTAAACCCTTTTCTATCCTGTGCCATCCTCACTCTTCCTGACATATAAAAGCCCACTGCAGGAGTCAACCCACCTGGCGAGGGTCTTCCTCTCCTTCACCGACCCTCCAACCTTCCCAGTATCATGTAATTAATTAACTTTTTCAAGGCATTAGTCAATTCAGCAGCTTATATTATTTACCCATATGGATAAACCTCATTTTTACTTCAGTGGCAGAATGGAGCTCAAAAAATTGAGGGCCACAGAAACAAGGCTCAGAAAAGCTAAATGGACCAAGGTTATGTAAGCAATTATCACAAGAGCTAAGAGAAAAATTTAGTATTATGGAGTTGTTTTCTTTAGTTGAAAGCAAATTTAGATTTTTAGCTATTACTCCATTTTATGGATTTGGTTTTAAAATATAAATTTCCTTCATAAGAAAAATAAAAAGGTATCCTTCATCCAAATCTAGGGAATAATACATATGATTTTGCTTGTCCCCTTAACACAGCTAGAGCTCAAATATGGTATTTACTTAAAGCATGCAGTCAGGTGCCTAAGTAAAACTGTCTATAAAATGTAGATGCTACAAGTGTCATGTTCACGAAATCTCTTCTCAGACCCTAAAAAATCAAATTAGACTAAAAAGCAATGTCACAGATCACGAGAGGTGAGAAAAAATTAAGTGCTTATATGGTAAATGTCTCTGTCACTTTGGACAGGAGGTAAAAAGATGAGGGTAGATGATCCCTACCCTCAGGAGAGGTGAGACAACTAGCCAAGCTAAGTGCTAGTTCAACCTTCTCAGGTGAGAAAACATAAGTGCTTAGAAATTTTTACAAAATCTTAAGCAAATGAGATTCTAATATACCTTGCTTATCACTACTGTTCAGTGCTCACCGTAAATACTTTAAGATACTGTGGAAGTGCAGCAGCAAACTTGTTAATGGTGTAAACTTTGGCTTCTTTATTTTTTTCCAAACTTCTAGCAATACTTTTCCAGAGAATGACAATGATTTCTAACAAACCTGACATGGATGCAACATCGTTTACTGACAATGTTTGGTCTAGAACCTGAAAGACAAATAACATTTTTGTGACAGAATCAAAGTATACTAGCTATTTAAAACAAACAAACAAACAACACATTTCAAAATTCTAAAATTAAACCAGAAACACACACACACACTTTGGTCCCTAAAAAGGTCTATTAGAAGAAACAGAGCCATAGTATTCTCAACTGCTTTCTATGCATCTGAAAGTTGGACAGTAAACAGAGAAGACTGCATCGGCAAAGAGTACCGTATATCCTACGGACTGATAAAAGTACAAACAAAACTGAAAGAGGAACTAGCGTACTCCTTAGAGGCCAGGATGGTGAAACTTCATCTCACATACTTTGAGCAAACATCAGGTAGTAAAAGTCCTTGTCAAGAGAGATTATGCTGGGGAAGGAAGAGGGCCAGCAAGAATGCAAGATCCACAATCAGATGGATTGACACGGTGACTATCACAATAAGCTTGAGCATGATGCAGGTCATACGGACGGTACAGGACAGGGCAAACCTCTGACTTGTCATTTATGTATCTATGAGGCATAGCTGACACAATGGTACCTAACAACAACATCACAAGTCAACGTATTTGTAAAAGTTCACTGAAGAATTAAATTCTAAAGTTTTAAATCCTCTAGGACGGCGTTTAGGGCTCTTGTACATAGGGTCGCTATGAGTTGCAAGCGACTCAATGGCACATAACAACAACAACAACAAAAAAAAAACACCTCAAAATGTTTAAACTATTGCTATCATCTGGCTTATTAAGAAACAAAACCTAAAACACTAATAAAAAGCTTATCTTCTTTTACTAATTGGTTGAAAGATGTTTCCCTTTCTCCACAAACCTTAATGCAATGAGAATAATGAGAAAAGGATTATGAAATCTTATTTACTTAAATGTAATTACTACTTTAAGTACCAATATTTGGCCTCTCAGCTCACCTATAGGGCACGCGGATGGACCATCATCATTCTATCCCTACGTACAAAAGAAGCCTTGGATTTTGTGTATGAAGTGAGGTGTGGGTCTTGCTTGAGTCTTTTGCAGATACTTTTCCAACACCATTTGTTAACAAAAGAAGCCTTGGCCCAACTAGTTCACCCTCCCAGTTCCTCTGTGCCCAGGGCTCAGTCATGGTGCCTACCCATCTTGCTGAGGGCCTTTTTCACTGCCTGTCTACTTTACCAACTGTGATGTCCTTCTCAGGAACTGGCTCCTCCTGAAAAGATGCCCAAAGTACATGAGTCAAAGTCTCACCATTCTTGCTTCTAAGGAGCACCTAGGCTTCACTTTTTTGTTTCTTCATCTGTCAGCCCACAGTATACTCAACATTTTTCACCAAAACCACAACTTTAAAGGTTCCGATATTAAGAGCTAACAAGGATCAACCACAACTCAATCACAGGCTTCTTTCCTTTGTTTTAAAATAAATAAGCTTTCACAGATTTTTCTGACTTTATACTAGTAATGCACAGTAAATGCTTATGACTCTTCTGTTTAAATAAATCATATTAAACAACAAACTCACTTTAATAACTCCTCTTATACATGAGAAGCTCCACCACTAATCTAATTAAAAAATAAAGACAACTTATAGAGCCAATTCAATTATGTTATTCCCATGCCAAACTACAGTACATGGGAAGCTGAAGGGAAAGCAAACCGGGGACAGGATTTTCCAACAACTTTTCATCTGCACTAGGTCCTTCTAGGAATCTGAAATTAATTAAAAAACAATTTGTCTTTCTAAGTATTATGAGGAGGTCTTGGTCTACCTTAAATTTGTTCCTGATTCGGCTCAGGGTTCTATTTGACTTACACTCACGTTCTCCTTTTCCCGTTCTTCATCCTCTTCTTGATGCTCTCTTACTGCTTTATGGATGCACGCGTTTAAGCAACGACGAATAACATGAATCAGCTTTGCTAGAAATTATAAGATATCCACAAATGAATTTTGTGCTTTTCCAACAAAATTATCTAATAGTCACAGTGTAAGCCTAAATAATGAAAAGTATTGTTGTTTTTGTTGTTAAGTGCCCTCAAGTAGCAAGTGACTCATAGAGACCCTATGAACGAAAGTCCTGGACACCTCCTGTGTGACTTTCTTCCTTTCTCTAGGTTCACAGGGTTTCCAGAGGCAAGCTATTATGGAAGTGGATGCCACTCCTCCTTCCAAGCTTGTTTTAATTGGGGAGCACCACCAACCACTGTCCACTATGAGTAACGATTCTCGCATTTGACTCATCAGGGTCACAGTGTTTGGCGTCACAGCAACCACGAGTTACCTCTGTACAGCAAGTGGACATACCAGGGTAACACGACCTAGAAGAATGTTTCACCAAAAACAATTACAGGCAGGTCTGAGGACCGCAAAGTAGAGTCACCCACCTCTGGTTTGGGAGCATGACTACGAAAAGTATTATTCAAGGGAAAAAATTTAGAAACCCATTTAAAGGACAAACACTGAACAGACATAATAATTATACCTTAGGAAGAAAAAAATTCTATTTTAGGAAGAAACGAAAATTGCACAAAAGGTCACATTCCACACCTATGTTAGTGCACGCAGTGTGTTCATGGGCGTACTGATAAAACCTCCTGGCGGCAGCGTGGTTCATCTGGATCAGGGTGACACAGCGCTCACACCACACTTCCTCGGGCTGATTAACAGGCAGGAAAGAATTGAAGATGAGGCTGACCAAGCGCCGGACAACAGGTCGAGAATCCATTTCCAGACGAACCAAAATATATTCCATAGGACATATATTCCAAAACTGTGTAAAATGCATATGGAGAAAAAAAAATAAATAATTGTTCCTACAATCATGTTAACTGAAATTTTCAGAAAATTCTTTTCATAATCAAGAATTAATATTTTCTGCAGAGAAATTAGAATTTATAAATACTTACATTTAACCCTATAATGTACCTAACATAAGGCTGCTGGGGGGGAGCACACGACCACATTACAATCAATTAGCACTATGCATGATGTGAACTCCATTACTATAGTGTAACTGGTTTTAATTGTTTTCTTTTATTATTTATTGTTACACATTTTCTTCCCCCTGCTCCCCCAGCCCACTCACTCCACAACACACCCCTTTTTCCAGATTGTTCTTATACATATAATGCATAATCATATATTCCTTCTGGACAGTTCTTCCCCTCATTGTTCTTAGCTCAGTGTTCATTATCTATCCACTCTTTCTCCATTTCCTCCTCAACGCCCCCCCTGCCCCCATGTTACAGAGTAACTGCTTTTAAATTTCCTACGGAAAGCATAACCTCTTACCTGTTAATGTGAGAAGTGAGGAGAGGATAATTATAACAGAATCATGGCACAGCAAGCTAAAGTGTAATATTACAATGTCATGTATGATTACCAGGTACCAAATCTCTCTTAAGGCTCCCTGGCTCCATCCAGGCTAATGCTCCTCTGGATCCACTCTACCGCCACTCCACTAGGTACACTGTCCTGAAAGCTGCGCAGATGATCACGCCTGACCTCTCAGGCTCCAACCACTTTCTCTTCCAGCCCACTTCCTGTATCACTGTTAGACAACTGCACAGAGTACTGACCACACAGTTCCTCTACTCTGAAGCATTCACAGAGATTTCCTAGGCAGGAGCCAAACTTTTAACCAAGAAACTCGGGACAGAAAAGAAAATGCTAGAGCAAGAAAATGAAAATAGACTTTAATGTGTTAATGCTTAAGTTAGGCCTCCACGGTGAAAATATATTCGGCCTAAACTGTGAAAATATAATTGGAGCCAATTTTTTCTTCTGTAAAATGGGTGAAACACCATTAAGTATGCCTTTTCCTCAAAAAACTTGCTCTAATAATGATCATATTCTTATTGGTTCTTTCAACTGGATTCTGCCATCAGAAACTACATATGCCACTCAGCTCTAAAAATTGTTGTTGTTGTTTAGTGC